AACCGCTCTGTATATACTTCCAAGTTTTTACAAGATAAGACACTATGTACATCTAATTTGCTCAACACTTTTTTTTAATTATGGTTTAACAACAATTTCTTTTCCTGCTTTCCTACTCCATACACAATACACTAAATACATGTTCCATTCTTAAAGAAAATACTTTTGAAATCATAACACACATTTAATTTCAGAAAGTACTAATAGTCATACCTTTTTGCACTTGTAGCAAACATAATAAGCATATCTGTTCATAGCATAGCCAGCTGGGTCATTATAAAATCTAACACCTGGTGTTGTGATGGCCTCACTCTTGTGCAACCCTTCATACTCCAATCTCATTAGCGCTTTTCTCCTTACATCTTCATAGAGTTCTTTGATTGGATCAAGCAAATCCTTTAATACTGTATGATTGATTTTGTTCTGAAATAAAAAAACAGATTAAAATATCTTGCATCTTTATTACAACAGCTGTGATAATTTGTATTACAATCAAACAACAAATAGCGTAACGGATGTTATAAAAACCTAAGAGCTCAGGCAATGGACATTTCAAAAAATGGCTGATATAGTATATACTTTATTTGCTGCAAAAATAGTAACCAGGAATGCTTTTTATATGGCCTTCTGTTATATGAAATCATCAGCCCTTACAACAGACTGTAACAACCACAGAGGGATGGTAAAGGGTACATAAAAATTCACCACAGCACAGGAATATTCTGATTGTATGTTTTCTCTAATTTTGGTCCTTTTTGACTTACTGCTCAGCAATTAAGAATAATGACCGACAGTCCTCTACGCCAGCTCTTTATCATTTAATGATTACAAGCTATTGCCATAAATTACCAAAATACAGCACGAAGGAAGAAACACAGCATACAGAATGGCTGACCATTCACAAATTTCATAATCCTAGGGCGTTAAGGTGCTCTCCTTCCCAGCAGCTATCATATGCCTTTGCTTACAGCAATTATTACTTTGTAGAATACAAGAGAAATTTTTAGCAACTTAAGCTATACTAAGTACATATATTCTTCAGCTCCGTCCTCATACTGAAAAGCAAAGCAGCTTTAAAAGGGGTTAGTAAAATAGAGAAGCCAAGTTTCCTGCTTCAGATAATGTTCATTAAGATTACTTCTTCCCCACCCCGCCGTCCCCAAATATTGGGAATTTACAAGATGATGGTGCTAAGAATAAAACAGCACTAAGATGATGTCTGCATTATGCTTTCTTCTTAAGAGGACCCTTACTTCAGGGAACAGTAGGGGAAGGTAAAAAGATGCATCAATGATACCCTTTCTTTACTGATACAAGAAATTAAGGAAACAAGTGACGTATGACTGATTTATATTGTAACAAACAATATATTATTTAAAAAAAAAAGAAAAGGAAAACAGTATTAGGTAACTTGTTTGACTTAGGCAGTAAACACATAGCTCATTTACCTTGCAAATAGGACAGGACATAAACCCAAAAGTTATCCTTGGCCCAAGCCATCTGTTTTCTAGGACTCGTTGACAGCATTGCAAATGGAAAACGTGGCTGCAGTCCAGCTTTAGAAAAGAATACATGTAAGTGAACACTGAAGTTACATTAACCACTAAAATAGAAGTAGTTACTTGCTTATAAGTGGCAACATATATCAATTCCAAAATTAATTTATTTAAAATCTTAGAAGACGGTTATTTTCTTCTTAACAAAGAGAAAGAATATAAAATGGTCACTAAAATCATAACCTTTCCACTCCAAAACCACCAGTGGATATATGAAATATATATGAAGTGTATCCATTAATTACCTCAGTTATTCTTCTCATTTATAAAATATTTTTATATATGTCTACTTTTAATAAAGTAGACACAGCAAACTAAATTGATACAATCTACTTTCTTGAAATAGATGTAATGCCAGACAGAAAGAAAGCTTTTAAAGTAACTTACGTATTGTTACGGTGTCTGTTTTGAAACTTTTAAGAGTACAATTTGAAGGGCTTTATATTTTAACTTCTTCCACACTTAATATTACAATCATAATATTAATCACTTAAAAGTGGGAAAAAAAAAGATAAACCTGAATAGCTGGTGCTGCTGAAAGTGCTTCAGTAAAGCAGATCATGCACATGTCATCAGCATCTTGTTTAAGAGCTGTAGCATTCTTATCACAGCCATGCAAACATGGCAAACAGTGCTCTTCGTTCTTAACGCCTCCACATGGATGACCACAGGGGTGTGTCTTGCTGCAGGCAATTTTAGCATACTCCTATTAAAAGTAAATAATTAATCTTTTTTTCTCCACTGAATGGTTTGATACAGTGTCGCTTTTTGAAGGAGTGCTGGTTCGTGCAATAAACTAAGACGAAAGAATCATGATTCGTGTCTACTGCTACAGCACGTACTTGGGAAAAACTGCACATTTTGTGTACTTGAAGTAAAACTGATACCTTCATTCACTTAGGTTACTCCTGAATAGCAATGGCACAATGAAACCATAATTTTTAGATTTTAATATTTGATTTTAATATAAAGAGAAATATTCTTTAATCCTCCATGTGTATTTTGTATATTAAATGCATCTTGCATAAACATTACTTGCCCTGTATTAATAGCCTTTAAGATATCTGCAGATTTTGGTCTTTCAGGAAAGGTATGAAGTAACCCACTCTTAAGAACACATTATGAGCTAATCATTAATCAGCATAAAGCACTTTTATATGGAAATGCTATTTTAACCACCTCTAATTCCTATCCCTGGTAAGTAGAAAACTTATAAAAGTTGCCCAGAAGCTAGCAACGCATTGAACTTAATTAACGTATCAATAATAAAATATATTCAATAGACCGAGAGAGAAAAAAAGTAGACAAATTTGCCACACATAAACTGAAATAAATAGGGTGGGATAAGAAACTGGTTAGGATTTGGCCCTCTGCCACTTGTACCTGTACTGTAGGGCACAAAAACGCTCAGGACACATGGATGCAGTTGACAAACCTGGCCAAGTCTTAAATGTTCTACGCTCACATAATAAACAGGCTGTTACGCAAACTACTTTTATCAAGCTTTCCAGTACACTACACTTTATGTTGACAATGTATATTTTACTTTATAATTGGAATGCTATTGTGAAAACTTGAGATACTTTTGAAGATAATAGTGAAACGACCGCGTATTTTGGTTGACTATTGGTGTTTGTAGCCTGTAATTAAACTAAACATTTACAAACTCAGAAGTATTTGAATTATAAGATAATATTCAATATTCAAACCTTTTCATATGAGAGGTCTGTTTTAAAATGGAGCACAGGGATGAACAAGGTTTACTTAAAATAATAAATCAATTTGATCCTACAGTCTCTTCTATTTATGTAATTAATGGTGATTGATATTTGTTAATACACACCTGGCAATCTGTATCAGAACAAACGCTTCCCACTGCTGATAATTCTGTTCCACTCCTACATCCACAGAAACGACATGCTTCAGAACTGCTGGTGGTCGGTTTGCCTAGATCCACAAAAGTAAAAAAAAGACGATAATTATTGTAATGAAACATAAGGGAGTGATATTCTAACAACAGACATCTAAACAACAATCACAGAAAACAACCAGAAAAACAACAATTCTTACACAGTTGAACTATTTTATTTTTATTAACAAACAATTAAAAGCATTGCCCTAAAGCAGGTGAAAACCCCAACTGGTTTTTGGTTTTTTTTTTGGACAAATGCTCACTTAAAAGGTAAAAATAATCAGGATAAAGAGCAAGTAATAACAGTTGTGTTTTACCTGTCTGTTCTCTAAACTCCACCATAGCCTTCATAGTTTTAGAATCTGCTAATGCCATCAGCCAGAAAAGTTTGGTCCTACCACAACCCTCATGGAGATCAACTTTGATAGCTTCTTCTTCTTCTTTGAATACCTGTCAGGTTAACCAAACAGATACTAAATAGCATCTCTATGTTATTTTTGTCACTGTCTCTTTGGATTTTCATCAAATGTTTTATAGATTCTGTGGAGTTTGTCTACTGCAAGCTATTTTTCTTATGCATTCCATAATTTGTACATATTGCAGAATGGATAAAGGCTTTGTGTTTTTAAAAGTAAGAATATATAAAATTAACACTTGAGCTAACATGGCTGGGAAACAATAGCGCAGCAATGCTAAGAAGAGAGCTGCACAACATTTTTTCTAATTTAAAAAACACGGAGCTTGGACTTCATAAGTACTATCTAACTCATCCAGTAGGCCACAGTATACTAAAAGCACAAGATAACATTAGAAATATCTTCACATAACCATGCTAGGATGGTTTATCAAAGCAACATTGATACTTATGGTCTTAATAATATGTACTATATAATTGCAATTATATAAGTGTGTGATATTAATATTTTTGACTTTCACATAAATACACAGTGGATACTTTTGGCTACAATGAGGAAAATACAAAATTTTTGCAAAATCAAAAAACTGCATGAGATCCTTATACAGTAGACTTTATACAGTCTCTTCTTTTTCTCCTTTCCTAAGTTTTGAAGGCAGTTCTGTTTTCATTCATTTCACCTGCAATGCAATAAAAGTTAGAATTTTCCTGGGTATGGATGTATACACTCAATTTAAACTTTGTTTTAATTCGTATTAGAATCAGGAAAAAAAACCCCTAAGTGCTTCACAAAGGATTCACATAAGCAGGTCATAGTAACTTACAGGCTGTCCTTTCTTGGAGAGAGAGAAAATACATTAAAGAGGTATGTATGACAGAAGTTGGACAAAGAACAGGAAGCTAACAGAAAACAGGAGACGGGGAACATGACAGAATTTAAAATCTAAATTGAGGGGCTTAACATGAGAGATGTAAAGGTAAAGGAGGTGAATTAAGAGTAAAACTTTAAACATGCTTTTAGAATTAAATAGGAAAATCTGATAAGTAGCTATTTTGGACAGATTAAAGGAGAGATATGAGGACTTCTATGAGATAAGAACTTACTTTTTATCAACTGTAATCTGAACAGGCTATATAGGAGAAATCAGAAAAATAAATAAGACTAGACTGTGCTGTGCCATGACAGAAGAGTAGACATATAAAATCATCATCTTAGGATGACAAAACAGGAACATTTCAAAGGGGATTGCAAAGATTCTGGCTAAGAAATACAAGATAACAGATCCACATGGAGGTTCCAGGCTGAGTCTACACTGCAAATGCTGACGCATCAAGGAGGAGATCTGTAGAGTGAAACTCAGTGCCAATGATCTGATGTTTACATCACGTGTGTCCTAGACTAGCTGATGCCTTGCACTGAAAGACCATTAGCAGTGTGTCCCTGCATTTATCTTTTTTTGTTGTTTTTAGTTTCACCTGAAAGGAATCACGTTCATGCACTCCAAGGCTGCTCTATAACACAAATCAAAGTACGTTAAGGAGAGATGATCATATTTGCTTCAAAAGCCCATTCCTGATCCTAACTAAAAAGCTAATGTAGATGCACTCTAGGAGAGGGAGAAGAGGAATGATTTCCCTTGAATTAACTTTATTAATGAGGTTTATTATTTTAGCCTTTGTACAAATGTAAGTAGTCAGAGGGAAAAGGGAAAATAAAGGACCACAAAAAACACAAAAGAGAAATAGTGTCAAGAAAGAGGAAATGTTCAGTAGTTTCAGAAGTAAAGGCATCTCCAACATTAATTTCAATGAGAAAAAGAAATATTCCAAGGAGAATGTAGTTTCAAGTTTAGAGATGAAGAGGTTAAAAGAATAACACAAAAGAACACTAATTAACAGAGCACACAACAATTTGTAAAAACTCATCTAAGTCAAAGAGGAAAGACGTTTCAGTCCTAAAAACACAACCAAAAGAAGTCAGGAAATTTTCAAGCTTATGGATATGACAACATATTTATCTGTGAAAAGACAGTGAGAGCTGGAGGAATATTGAAAAATAACAGAAGACTGACATAAGGGAACCAGTAGGCATGTTTGCTGTCAAGTGGTCTTCCTGGATATTAAAAAATGTATATACATTCAAAATGAAGGGGTTGACAAGCACTGACTCATATGATAGAAGTAGTAAAGGAGATATAACAGGAATAAAGAACCAATGTATACTTAAGAAAGTCTATGCAGGTCCTAGATTCTCCTAAAAAATGTTCCTAAACAATGTTAGAACAAGAGAGAAAAACATAATAGCATAAATTAGAATTAGGGACTGCTACATGATTTTTTAATCTTCTCAAAAAGATAAAGGACAAGAGAATCTAACTAAAAACAACTAAAAAGAATTAAATGGAAACTTATCTATCCCATCTCCAAAATAAAACACCATTTTCAGATTTGATACTTGCTACTGCTTTTTGCTTATATATTAATTGGGGAAATGCACACAACGTATGCAGTGCATACAACATGATGTCATGTATACTCTACCTGTCTCTGATGAGTTTTTGTTCGCCGATGGAGATGAAGGAATCGGTCACAATCTGTACACAAATTCCCACAGACATTACATAAAATGATTGCGGCAGTTTCACCATCATCATGGTTATCACACATTGGCTGGGAAAAAAAAAAGGGAAAAAAAAAAAATTCTCTCTTTATTAAATCCCTCATTTCCTTTCAGCATCTGTTTTTATTTTCCCCCCAGTCATTCCCCCCCAAATTAATAAAGGGGGATAAAGAGCTTGTTTAGACTATTAATTGTATCTTTAGAATAATCAGTATCTAAAATTACTCCTGCACACAAAAAGCCCCAATTTACTACAGGGAGGAATAAGGTTAAGCCAAGTCTACCTTTCCCTATCATTATTCTAAATTCTCTGACCATTGAATAAATCAAAATAAACACAGAAAGATATGATTTTCAGTCTCACCATCTGTTTCTGTTGTCCGTCCTTTCCCATCCATCTTCCTGAGGATAGTCTATCAACATGATCCTGATCAAGTACACAGAGGGATGCTAAGGCCAGCCATAGCTGTTGAAAGGCAAGGTAGAATTAAACGTTTTAGAAATTAAAAAAAAAAAAAAAAAAAAAAAATCCCAAATACTAAAAATATAAACTTGGGCAGATAAGAATGTCACTGTTACCTGCAAACTGCATCATCTTTAGCTGAAGCCTGCTCATACAATGCAAGTTTTTTTATTTTCCAAAAGAAGTCAAGCACACAATAAAACTTATTGAACTTTTGGGAACTACCTTGTTTCTTTCAGGTATGTCAATTTATGATCATAAATACAGCAGTTAGCACACAAGAGAGAAACAGTGAAGAAAGATCAACCAGGGTACATTATAGAGAAATATGGCAAATGCAGACTTGCATATCACTCCCAAACATTGCAGGCTTTGGGGGAGAAGAAGAAATTCAAGGACACAGACTAACAAAAAAAAACAAACCCCAAAACAACAAAACTTTAGCTCAATGAGATTGGGTTCCCTATGTTCTCTCATCGCTGCACGGGGCATTTGAGATTACCTAGAAAACGGTTCTAAGCTAACTATTCTTCAGAGGAAGCTTTTCTCTCTTCCTCTCCACTGACTACAGTAAATGTTTAAAGAGATGAGCTGTATGAGGAAAATTTGTCCCTAGGCCTGCAACCCAAACTTGACAGCTGCATTTTGCAATAATTTTTGATCAAAGGTTTGATTGGAACAAAATGGCTTTTGTTGAAAAAACTCTATTGGACTCCCCCCAAAAAACCACACCTCCATGACAGAACTAAGTTCATTCACAAGGAGAGCTAGGCTGATGTTCAGGGCTCCTCTAAGACCTGATTAAACTAACACGGTGACAGCAGGAGCTGGTGGTGCTCTGAGGCCGTGTCTTCCAAAGAGCAGAGACTATGTGAGCAAGGGGACGAAAAGGACAGCCTTTCAAGATGGAAAACAACATGAGTGTCAAATGCTTGTAACCACTGCAAACCTCTTCTTTTACATGTAATTATTATGCTTGACAAGCCAAAATCTGTACTCCCTAAGATAGTAGGAATGTCATAATTTACAAGTATGCTTTTCATAGTATTTCAAGCAATCTATTAAGGTTAAGTTAATACCATTTTCTATAAAAGATTCATGGAAGAAGTAAAGACAAAGAAAAAAACCCACCCCAGGTAAATAATAAAGGGTTCAGCAAATGATTTTTCATTTTGAGGCTAAAACACAGGTGAAGCTTAGCTTAATTGCCCTAGAGAATGTTTGTTACTGAGGGTTTTCACAATAGCCTTGAGATGTGGCAGCTGATGACCTAGAAGTCAAACCACTTAGTGGAGAGCTGGAAAAAGACAACTGATACATATTGTGCAATTTTCCACACAGATGATCTCATAAATTTAGTAAAAGGCAAGTATCACAAACATAAAGCAGAATTACCTCAAGTATAAAACCCCAAATGTATAAACATAACACTTATTCTTCATTACTTGGGAGGTACCCAAGATACATATTTCATTACAATTCAGTTTTTACTGGTGTATTTCTGCCACAAAGAAGAAAACTCAATCTGCTGTGACACAGAGAAAGCAAGACTTTTATTAGGACAAACAGTGTAGATGAGGCGCTTAGGGACATGGTTTAGTGGGCATGGTGGTGTTGGGTTAACGGTTGGACTTGATGATCTTAGAGGTCTTTTCCAACCTTAATAATTCTATGATTCTATGATTGCCTTAGTTATGATACTTGTCCATTATGCACACAGCTAGATTTGGAGAATATAAACTGTATACTGTATGCATTGTTTCCTGAAACAGCCTGTATAAGGAAGTTTCTTCTGAAATATAGGAAGGCTCATGGATGGGCTCCTACTGCACGTTTACGATGAACTAACGTTAAGTTTAGTGAAGTTCTTACTCTGGTTGTTGCAATGCACCTCACTGGTGATCTGTATTCTTCTTCCATTTTGGTCAGAGCTATGATGGTTTCAGCAATAGCATTCTTTGTCACACGGGACCAAGCTTCCGACAGATGACCCTGTTAAAGAGGAAACTCAATTTATTACAGCTTTTATTAATATTAGGAACAACTAAAACTGTAATTAGAGCTGCTACAAGCAACATCAGGTTAGGATCTCAAATTAGAATAGAAAAAGAGGAAGCCAGGGATGACTGACAAGTCAGACAGATCTGGTAAAAATTAGCCCTCAAATACTCAGGTGACTGACTGAGGTAGTATCTGAGCAATTACTGGAATAACTAACTTGGAATAGGTAGAGGGAACATGATTTGAAGAATGAAAGAATGAAAGTCCGCCCTGGAGAAAGAAAGGTGGAGAACTGTAGCACAAATAAGTGACTGTGAATAACACAGAGATTACAGTGCATTCCTAGAGAAATCAGCTTCACTCGCCTAGCTCAGCCTTCTCGAATACTCTCCACAGTTTTTATATATTTGAAAGAAATAAACAAGAGTACACACAGGAGACATCAGAACTATGGCATACTTTCCAAACAAACCTTAAAGATTCTGAGCCTATGGCACTGATTCATATCCTAAAGTTCTCAATTCAGAGACTGCTGAATCCTTAAATTCTTAATGTAATCTCTACATTTCTAAACCTCATGCTGAAGGTGACAGAAATAATTGAGACTCACTGGACTCTAAACCACAGAGGTCCCTTAGAAAACATAATCAAGAAATGTTAGTACTCCCAACTCTTGAATGGCCTCAGTCAAGTCTCCCTCATTTAGAATGAAAGGGAATAAAGTTCAGATCTCTACTTTGTACAAGAGCAGAGGAGGGTCCTTGTTGTCTGGCTATTGAATACTTCAGCGTAAACTCAGTCCCAATCATTCCTTTAGGAGCTGCTACACTTTAAGTAAGCAATTCAGAATCTATTGAAAGAGGGATTTATATCCACATTTGAGAGGACTACACCTTATCTGACTCGATCCCTTTCTTTTTTGTAATAAATAGTTACATATTCATTCCAAGTAGAATGGCTTAAACATTAAACATTAAAGAGAATTCAAGACCCACACCAGTATATCCAACAGCCAGCACTACTGGAAAACTATCAGGTATGTGGGAGATGGAGCCTAGCATACTCTGCATATGCATGCAAGTTGCCATATCTGACTCCAGAGCTTTAAGAACTTTCCTGCTAGCTTCTGCAATGGTTTTGGAGAACCAGATATTAGCAAATGCAACAGTTTCATGGGTGAAGGTCTCGAATGGCTAGAGGAGCTGCTTAGACAAAAATACAAGCAATCTGATTCTAGTCAGCCAGCCATTTTCTATTTCTACTAACCTCTTTCTTTTATTCCTGGCAAAAGTCTGGGCTCAGCTTAGTTTTGATGAGCTGTTCATCAAGGGACAGGCTCTCCCATCATCATGGGAGCCAGAATCCCATAAAACAAGGCCCACGGAGTTTGCTTCAAAAGACTTGCCCAGTACTATTTAAAAATGCTGCAGAAGAGGATCCACTATTTCACTGACATTTTCCCACTTACCCAAAGCATACCTACCAACAATGGCTACAAACGATCTGGCAACAACCGTTAAAAAAACAAATGTTGAACAAATTATCCCCCCCAATTCATTCCCAATGTATGTTGCATCTTAGACACTGAAAGAAGTGGGGTGCCTGAGAAAAACATATGGGCACATACATACAGGGGGCACCATGTTAATCCTGGCATTTACTATCTTCTGAGTACTTGTCTTTACAACTGCTATTTTTTTTGGTCCTAGTTTTTATGTGCAATTTGCTAAAGTGTTGATAAAGTAAGCAGAAACAAAAATCCATCATGTGGAATCACAGTGGTACCTACAACAGATCTTTCCCCTCTAGCCACTGGAGCAACTGAAGCAAAGACTAAGTGATCATTTTATGCATGGACCAGCACTGCTGAGGGATGAGACACACTTTAATTTTAACTCTTAACTAAAGACGAATTGTGAGATTCTGAAATCCTGTGGTCAGAATCAACAGCAGCAATTGCAGAGAACTCCCATCCAGCTTCAGCAACTTTGAGAAGGGATCTCCTTAATCTAAGCACAGTGAATGGTTTAGAAAATAAGACTCCAAAGCTGAACATACTGAAACAGCTTTCAAAGGGCAATCACAGAGGAAAATCTGGGTCATTTAGAGTACTTCACTGAAATAGCTACAGAATTAAGGAAAACAAAAACAACCTTCCAACTAAACTCCTTTCCCCTAAACGTATACAAATCCTATTTTTTTTTGCCAATATTGTTTCTGGGAAATAGCTGAATCACTTTTCATCAAATTCTTCTGCCAAAAAACTTGCCTGAAGCAGATACAACTATGGAAAATTTCAGCCCAGACATTTAAAGTAATAAACAACTATAAATATAGATTTCAATAAGACTGAAAGAAGTCAATCTTAACATGCAGTCTCAACCAGAAACTCCACATACAAAATCTACATACAGTTACGTGAAAACAACACTATTCTCCTACTCCACAGACACTTTTTACTTTTCAATTGGAGTTCTGAGTGTTCAAGTCTTAAAAAATTAGGCTTCTAAGTTAATAATGTAGAAAATGACACACAATTATTGTTTACTTCTTAAATTTCTGGTCCAAGTGACGCATTTAAAAGGTTATTTCAAAACTGGATTTCTGTTTAGCAGAACCAGAACTCAGTTCCTACTGCTCCTAGGACTAGACTCTACCAGAAGATTATACCTTTTTCTTCTTGAGACAACTCACATTTAACAGCTCAACCCAATACTAACTGTAATAGAAAGTAATGAAAAAATGTACTCTTCATTATCAGCAATATTTGAATATCCTCCACACATATAAAGGACAGAAACTTACTGCTGCCATGTCTTTAATGAGTTTAATAATGATCTCTGAAATCTGTGTAGGTGTTGAACCTTTCATCCACCAATGGCTTTCACCTCGCCGAATATAGCTGCAAAGGACATATAGTAATACATGAAATAAATTCAAGTAATTAGTTACTATTTGTCAAAATCCACCACAAAGAAATAGTGCACACATTCACCATATGGTAGATTGTGGTGGTTTTTTTTTTCCTTCTTCTTTTTTTGAATCAAACTCACTAATAACATGACTCATACTGTAAAAGTGTTACACAATTTTTTCTGTTTATAAAACAAAGATTATAAAAGACAACATAACTGCCTTCAAAGAATGTAATTATTTTGTGCCTTTAGCTTGAGAATATAGACATATTTTTAAACAAACCTGGAATTGAAGATCATTGGAAGCGTGACTGTAGTAACTCCTTTGCCTGCAGTAGTGCCAGCTGTCCCTGTTATAGTAGTTCCTTTGGCTTTTAGCTGTACAGTGAGAGCTTTGGCAATGCACCCCAAAAACATGTCTAAGATACCTAGTTTATTCCAATCTCCTTTTTCTGTTGAGTGAATGATATCACTTATATCTGCTGGTGGAAGAGACTTCACTCCTATAATACTAGCCAGGCGACTAGGGGTTACCTCAGGCAAAACACGTCTTAGTAATGATGTTACCTAGAAAAAAAATCAGAACACCACAACTCTTATCAAGACAGCTGGAGTTTTCAAGCAAAATCAAATAAAGTCTTTTTTCTTCCTCACAAGTTATTTCAGTAAGAAGGATTGAATCTACTTTCTGTACTTAAATCACACCTGTAAGAAATTCTGTAAGGTTTTATCTTGCTTTGAAGTGTTTATTAATATACTCAGTGAGACAAGGCTGAGGAGTCCAGAACCAATCTCACTCAAACAATACTTAGTCTTCATAAAATAATTAAAATATGGTTGGTACTGGACTTATGATAACAGTGATACAGATGTTTGTATAACTCTGATTTGCTTGCACTTTACAGACGTGTTACCCACTTTGCATATAATCTTTAGATATAATCTTTAGATGTCAGAAACTCTGTGATAGAACAGTTAGAGACACTTTACACTTCTGAAAACAAAGTACTTGCCTCGAGGTACTGAAAATCATGATTCTCTTCCATGATACTCTTTTCCCCCTCCCTTAGTTTTCCTTGCGATATTCTAACTGGAATTTTTTGAAAAGGAAATCTGTGCCAATTGCTCTGGATCTAACAGGAGCTGTCTTGAAACGATATGCTTCAACGTTACCAGCTAGTGGAATTGGGGTTGAAATTGGCTATATCATGCAAAGTTTGATCCAAATCAGGATGTATGAAAGCTCAAGGAGTTAACATTTCATATCTAATTTCTCAAGCCTTCAATGTTGTCCTGAAAAACTGATTACATTTTAAGAAGAAAACCAGTATTTTGCATATCTGCAATATATCAGAATTACTAAGCGGGGCAGTATCTGCCTCCAGGCAAGCTGAGATGTGACGTTGTAACGGTTCAGAAAATTGGAAAAAGAAAAGTAGAGAGTGTGAGACATAAAAACTTCTGAAACAGGAACTAAAAATCCACCTAGAGAAGGCATACCAGCTAGCAACCACAAGCTAGTGCATGAACTGTACTAAAGCAAATATTTTATATGTCTATATATTTGTTGTAATATGTGCATATAAATACACATATACTCAGGCAGAAAACATTCAGGTTCAGAGAGAAACAGGTATTAAAGCTCTACCTGAGGATACTAAGAGTAGAAAGGAATTGTCTAGTTCCACACTACCACACTCATAGCCTGAGTGTAAGACAAAGGTGCTAAGGACTTATGCCAGATCAGTAACAGACACTGCTAATTAAAAACCTCTGACCTTATCTATACAGGCTATATGGGCATTATATACGCATAATATGAAATACTCAAACAACGCTGTTTTTTTAGGTCCTGCACATTTGAGCAACCATGCTCTACTCTTTCAAGGTCTAATCTCAACCAATGAAGCCTCTGCTTCATCTGTTATGATGTTTTAGCAAGACAGTCATTAGTTATCCCATAATTCCAGCTGCCACTGTGCTTCGAGGTCAAACATTATATTAAAAGGGCAAGAATTGGAAAAAGAAAAGTAGAGAGTATGAAACATAAAAACTTCTGGAACAGGAACTAAAAATCCACCTAGAGAAGGCATACCAGCTAGCAACCACAAGCTAGCCTCCTCAAATCATGCAAATATTTACCAACATTTGGAGCATATGCAGCACATACAGATGGGGGTAACTGTGTAGCTCTCTCAGACCTTTTCCCCACAATGAAGTGGCATGAGATCTTACTAAAAAATAAGCAGTTACCTCACTAGCTTCCTTCCACACCTGAAAACTTAACTGCTTTTTATACAGAATTCTTATTTGCAATAAATAAATAAACCAGCTTTTAAAATTCATACATTTGAGAAACGGGAAATTAACAGCTCTGATATTTAAAAGGAGCACGTCTGGTTCTTAGCAATTATATGTAATAATTCTGGATGATGCTGTCCTTTATAAATAAAGTAGATGAATGCAATACATGAACTTTAAGAAGTCTCTTTTCTGGAATGTAATACATAACACTGGTCTGAATTTAAATATTGCCAGTCACAAGGCAGGGCCAACTTCAGAATCTGAACTTTCATCTTAAAAAAAGAGAATTCTTAGTCATTGCAAAAGAAAGGAAATACCTTACAAACTGAACATACGTAACAGGACATGGATGAATCTGTTGAAAACATGAACAATGGGGTTACTATGAAGTAAAATTCACTGAATACTGTGAAGTTCAGATTCGCTAAAGAAGCCTTTGCAATATCACTCCAAAACAAAGGCCGTGTGCTTACATAAAAGATCCCTATTAGGACACACAAAATGACTAATTGCTCTTGTGCATCTTTCTTCATTGCAGCCACAACCCCTGCCAAGTAAACTGTATGTCCCTTTGATATATGGTTTGAGAAAGCAATTTATCCTGCCCTATCCAACATCCTTCAGGATAACGACAAGAAAGGTGAACAGTGATATTACTCAAAGGCATTTCAGAATAGTTTGCTGATTTAGGTTCATGATGACATAAGTGTTAATTAAGCAATTTTGGCTTCCTACACCTCAGTTCTACCTCTTGGAGACAAAGCATTAAAAGCTTACTCAAAAATGAGTTTATTTTTATTTCATAACTGTAGCCTTCATTGCCTTCCCTTCAACACTGTTTGTACTTCCTGCAAATAGTTTTATACAGTCAAATTGTGGTGGTGCTGGGGTGTATATGTATTTATATATCAAACACATCAAACTTTATAATTTTAACCCACTGAAAAACTGGAAGAAAAAAAAAACAAACCAAAAACAACTGACACTTAAATTCCAAAAGGAGATTCTGTAATTTGTTTTTAAATGTTCATAAATTTCTATTTGCCCTCTCCTCATGATTGCAATAACAAAATGAGTTGCTTTATTTCCAGTTATTCCCTATATGGAATATAGAGATGATCTGAGTATGATTGGGAAAACATTTTTGAAGTGAAAACACAAAATTACATTTCACAAAAAAATAAGCTCAAATACATATTATACTATCACGCACACAATGATAGGATTCTAAAACTTTTATGCCAAGATAGACAAGGAACAGTTAGCACTCACCTGTCTCTGCACCCTGGGAGAAGCAGTATGTAGTAATGAGAAGAGGTCCTGGAGCAAAGTCAACTGCTGAGCCAGATACTGCCGGCCTACATTGGAACCGCTCAATGCCAGAACCATTGACAGCAGCTCAAAGCAATACGCGTCAGAAGAAGCATCTTCATCGTTAGGCTGCGAGTTGGCGTTCTCTTTGCTAGAGATGGCATGCTCCCATTCTTCACGCACACGGGTTGCTTCCATTCGTATGGCCTGGACTATATGAGCACATACCTATCCAAACAGAATCCAAATACACAGTAATTCTGAAAAACTTTTAGAAAGTAAAAGAGATTGTGTTTTATGTACCTTCACAACTATGACTAAAATGGAAAGCCTGTGAAATTTGGCCTGTGCTTCAACTACTTTTCAACATAAATTCAAATGAAGAATAAAATTTAGATTTAAATTTAGAGTAAGGATTAGATACAATTCTTTAGAATTAAGATTTAGATTTAATGCAGAATTTGCTCATCTTCATTCTGGAAAATGTCATTGAAATAAATCTTTTTTTTGTTTTAGTTCCTGCCTTTTAATTTGCTTTTTACATAGAATTCAGGTTAAAAAAACCACACACAAACTCCCCCAAAAAAATACATTTACTCAACACCCACAAAAGAAAAAGGACTTATTAAAAGACTTAGTCTCTTGTTTAGTTTACTATTCAGGAAGCTTAAAAAATTTTAGAAACTATGTTTTCATTTTACCAATAGCACGCTAAAAAGCATATTTAAGAGTTTTTAAAGTTTGCTAAGATGGGTGACAAAAAAGTAGATTCTGCATGACTTACTAATCCAACAAACTTCAACATGAATCTAAGGCCTCTTGTATTACTGTGAAAATCTTTACAGCAATGTTTGTCTCATGATAGGTGTAATAAAGGTAATATAAAAGATGCTTTAGTTGGTATATTTAAAAAAATCAAGTATACCAAAAGAAAAAACATACTCTAACTACTGCTTTATGTTAAGAAAAACAAAGATAAGTAAGAAAACCATAAACCCAAACTTCAGTTGACTGCAGGAAAGAATAATTTAAGAATCTATGCACTGATTACCTTTTTAGGATTAAATTTTATCAAACCTAAATACTTTTTGATGACAGAAATGGGGACAATACACATGCAAAACTAAGAATGTCAACTCTGTCACTGAGCCGCTTCTAGAAATTTGAGAGGGTCTACTATTATGCTATTATTATCAGCAAATACTAATAAGTACCATTCACAACTAAATTCTTTTGAAATTGATTCTAATAGGATAGTTTCTATCCTATTAAAATTGATTTTTTCAGTGTCAATTTCAGCAGATTTTTCATATAAACCACACACACATATTATTTAAAATGTAAACGAAAATTTGATTATAAAGAACAACAAAAGAACTGAAAGTGTCAAGTAAAAGGTACTATATTCACTGAAAATGAGCATATTTACTACAATACACAAACGTTTAATCCTCAAAGCATTTCAAAATGAACGAACCTGCTTCTGCAAATTTGTCAGTTTGCTCCGGCTGAATATGATCCCTACCATGTGCTCCTTCAGGTCTGCATCTGATGTTGCCTTCATAAAAAGCATATTTAATATTAGGTCAAGAGTTTCAAGAACATTTCCTAATTACTGTAGCAATTAACATGGAATATCAACAATTTTTGTTCTAAAAGTTTGTAGCTTTTTGTTACAGAGAAATAAGATATATAAGCAAGATCAATTTAACTGTGGTTAATAAATACCTCCTAGATGTATTTACTTTCTTTCTAAGAGGAAATTTGAGCATGAAATAAAATAATGAATAAGCAAAACAAGTGAAGTATAATTATCCAAGATTCAGCCTCTCAATGTAGCTTAATACAATCACTGATTAAGTCTTTGTAAATCAGTGCACAGAATATACTTTTCAGTTTATATATTTCACAATAAAAGAAACAGGGAACACACAATTAATTAAGTTACCACACAGCAGGCGTGAGAAAAACACACTTTTACGAAATGAATAATTCAGTCATGGAACTTATTGCCACAAGGTACTGGGTAGAGCAAAACCATATATCATCTGAAAAACGAAATTACTTTCATTGAGGACAGTCCAATTTTGGCTATTAAACATGACAGTCCAGATACAGCGACCTTTTCAGGAATACTTCTTAAACTAATCCTTGCTGGACGACAGGAGACTATATTAGGTAAAAGGATACTAGTGCAGTTTCTTAATACTTTTTCTCTAAACATTAACAGAGACCCTCTTAAGGCACAAGATAGGCAAGAAGGACTTTCAGGTTGACCATTACTGCAGGTGTTAAGTACTTCTATAATTGTAGGCGTAATTTGCACCACCGTTGTGACGATGTTTCCATTAAACACATATGCTCCACTTATAATTTACTAATTAAAATTTTTAAAAAATAAGTAATTGTGACATTTTACTTCTGTTTTGATCTGAAAATTATGTAGCATTAAGACATAGGAAAAATACTGAAAATCATCCTGGATCACTTTTTCAGCAAAGTATTATTGATAGAATACAAATAAATACATTGTGTACTTTTTCTTCTCCTTCTGGGGAAGACAACAGTGCTTTTTCTTCTTGTTCTGGGGTTGGCTCAGCATCTCCAGAGATGAGTTTTCCAAATACCTGGAAGACAGACAGTGACAATCAGCTTATCTCAAAGACAAACTTGTGCAGATGTGACATTTTACATTAAAACATAAAGAACTGAAAGTCTAGGTTTACAGTAAATTTCACTGCATAACACATCGTTAAAATCCCACCTGGGATGTAATAAGTCGGAATACTCGCAGTGTCTCAGATTCACAGTTTCTTTGTTGAGCTACACTTGCAGAAATCTGGCCTGCTATTTTAATGCTTTCACCATCTTTCCATCCAAGCATTTTCACTTGTCGAACTCTTAGGGTGTTCTCTGGACCCTTCAATTCAATTTTGATGATGTGATTATCACCCCCAGGAAGTTCACTTGTTACCCAGCCAATATGTCTTGAATCCAAGTCTACCTATTAAACAGGAATATAAAGATGGGAACTGACATTACATCAAACAAAAAGTCACCTACCTCTAAAACAAATCTATTATATATCACTGGAACTAATACAGTATTTGCTATGAAATTTTTATTCTGAACAGTAAGACTAACATGCTTAATTACAAAAATATTCAACTTCATTATTTCAGATAAAAAAAAGAATCTCAAACTTAAATAAAATTACATATACCCATCTATTGTCTTTAAAGCCTATTAAAATAGTGGGCTATCTATCCCTTTTATCCTCTAAGCAATAGTTCACATATTGAAAAAAACACTTTGAACAAATATTTGCTCATTACTTTTAATTTAAAAAAAAGCCGCCATAATTTATCTGAAAATATAACACACTATTATCAGTACTTAAGTTATTCCATCCCTATTCACGTAAACCCCTGCAAAAGAAAACTTTGTGGAAGTCAATCTCTGATATCCTTATCAAGAGATGTAGGACTCAATAATTGTAAAAAAGACAGATGAACTATATCAAATTAAGTTTATTTTAAAATAAATATGGTTTAAAAAAAGAATGTAATTAACGTTATATGATTTAAACTGTGATGTCACTACTGGAAGATAAAACCCGATGGGGTGCAGTGCCTCACACCATTGCTCAGAGCAACCCGAGTGGGCCTAAATTACACTTGGCCCTGAACCAAGTGAGCCCTCTCTCACATCCGTAGGGCCCAAAGGCTCATTTATAATCAAGCTAATATTTGTTTTTTCCCATTTCTACACTAATTCTCAGTGTCTGCATTGAACTGTGCTGGAGCAGACAAGACTGACTTTTTTTTTTTTTTTTTTTTTAAATATCAAGAGACAGAGGGTATGCATGAATTAGGGTATGGTGTGTTGGCATTCTTGAAGATAAAAAACCTGCTGGAAAAGTGTCAGAGGACTGTTCAGCACGGAGGGAGCAAAGCTGAATCTAGTCTTGCCTGTCTTCTGGGAGAAAACCATCCCTGGAAAAATGCCTGGGGACTGAGTTTGAGCAGGCAGAAACAAAGCCAGGGAGTGAGCTAACAAGCTGTATGAATGATCACAAGTCCAGTGCCTGAGCTCTGCCGTGGCCTTCTTTTATTTAGCTGGACAGGTAGACATACCAAGTCAGTCTTCTCAAAAAAAGAATTCTCCAAGGAGGGAGGGGGTGTGTCCATCTATATTTTCTATCTACATACATAGACTCACAGACAATAAGCACACAAACTTTATACCTGTCTACATATATACACACACTCACATTTCACTGTTTAGTATGAGCCCACTGCACCAAAGTTTAGTTTCTTCAGATTTGTAACATCTTTTGGAGATGTATCTTTGCCTTAAATGCTCTCTGAGGATAAGAGGTAGAGAAAAGCAAACCACTCCTCTATAGGAAGACAATGCTTCTTCTTGAAGAAATCTTACCACTGACTGTCAATAATCCAAATAATATAAGTTTTGAGCCCAAAATGGTAACTGCCTGCTTGAAACCTTAAATATCTTTGATAGGTCACATCAGTGTCAAAACATTGTTCTCTGTGTAAAAACCATGCATCTATCATTTGGCTTAGCAACAGAAGTACAAAGATTGAATACCATTCTGAACTTGAGTCTTTGGATAGAAGTCTTCAGCTACCAGAAGTTGAGAACTAAAATGGCAGGGTAAAATGTGTGCTATAAACATGTATTAGACCACATAACTAGAAAAACTCGGGTTGAGGGTAAATAATTTTTCTCCTTCTCACAGTGTTCTACTTCTCACTCTTAAGCTGCATTTCTCTAATGAAAATGATTCCGTGAAGCAGACAGAACGCAATGACAGTGCAACACTAAGAAGCCAGGCGTCAGAATATCTAACAACATGTAATACTACTTAATACAATTATTTCAGGTATATTCTGATATAAGTACCCCTAAAGGAAACCAAACAGTTTGTTGGGCCTCTGCTATATGCAGCCAAAAAATGACAGCAATTTTTCAATGTCAACTGTTAAAATGTTTACCTGCTTTATTCTGCAGAGATCTTCTACTGCCTTGCCAGTTAGGAAAGTCATTGAAGTTACTTTGTTCTGCAACAGACAAGCAAAATAAGAACAAAATACTTCAGCTGAGGACCATTCTGACTATTTCTTCCATATTAAGAGAGTACGTACATAAGAGAGAGACAAATTGTTTCATTATGAAAATAAATTTTGAAAGTGATCAAAACCAAGGACAAAGAATTTCAAAGCACAGCTCTCAAAAAATAAATTAATTTGCTCCTTGTATGAAAATCTGTAGTTGAAATGAAGATATATTTGTAACATTACTGTACAGATCAATAAACATGAATGTAGTAAGTGAACAAGTTGTCTCTTTCTGGCAAGGTGATACAGTTCTGAGATACTCAGTTGTGGCCTATCAGCATTATTATGATACATAAAGTTACTTAAATTAACCATGTTAGAATTTCCCTATATTTAACAATTCTGTGTTTTACAAAGTATTATTACTCTGCATAAGACAAACTGAGGTGAAAAGGTAGAAATTTTGAGGTGGGACACGGTGGACAATTGTACTTTGTGGTAGTGAGAAGTTTAGAAAATAGTTTAGATTGTATGAAAACTCTTCATTTGAACATGCCACTAAGAACTAAGTTTCCCAGTCTCAGGTTCATGCAAACTGCAAATTCAGTTGAATTGGTCTCATCATATTTGGTACTGCTTTCAAAACCACAGGAATTAGAAACTTTACTATAAAGTGTGAGCTTCTGAATTATAATTACAAACTGAACTGGACAAAGAAACAGTGGTTCTTGATTGATGAATATATACAACTTTGACTATGCACCTTCAATGAGAGACATTTGATTTCACTTTCCTCTTACCCCAAGATCTCTGGAATTGTCTACATGAACACACACATAACGTGCATTGATTCCTTTTACACAGTTAATTGTGATGTTTTTAGTTTTGTTTTTATCTTCATCTCCTGACTCCCAGAATGTTTCTGTAGATCCATCTGTTAAGCTACCAATCATGGCAGGTCGGCTTGATGTTTTAATGTCAACAATGCTGGTTAGGTCTTTCAGACAAACGACTATACACAGTTCCTGGGAAAACAAACGAGACCATTTAAAATATCTAAAACCAAGCCCAAATACAGGCATTATTTAAAATTTTTAAAATGATACAGACATATCTGTTCTGAGGAATATGCTTTCTGAATTAAAGAAGAAATTTGTCACTTATTGGTTCAAATTATTCAGCCCTTTAAACCAAAGAAAGTATTAATAGCTAACAGCAGAATATATTAGTAAATGCCTAAATGTCTTAATAAATAGAAGAAAGCACTTTAAAGATATTCATTAGGAGCACTAATTTGTGCTCGTCAGAATAACAGAAGAAAAAAAGATATAAGCAGGAACTGGAAGTATGCAGCATTTAAAAAATGAACTAACTCAACGAACCAAATTAATTAACTAAATGAACTATAAGAGATCCCCAAATACTTTACTAGCAAACAAGCACTTACAAGCACTGCTCCAAAATTTAGGTTTGAATGATATACAGGCTAAGTGACAATATTTGAACCTCTAAAGCTAAATAGGAGAACCTGAATATCAGCAAGAAGATCCCAAACTGAGATACATTCAAGGAAATATGACATTTCAATAAAAGATGTTTTAATTCAAACAGAATGATTATAGTAAGTACAGGCTGTTCACAATTGACCTCTAGTTTTGAGAGAGAGGTGTAATACTTGCCTGATTCATGACTTCAAAACCAGACTGAATACTGATACTAAAACTCTCTTCACTATCTCCATCATCAGATTTAGACAAAATATTGTTGATATGATGAAAAACATTGCTCTGGTGCAGGAACTGGTGATCAGATTGTTTGAATTTGAGACTCCAGCACCTGAAAACACATTTAGTGGATTTCAAAATTTTGAATATTGTTTAAAATACATAACCTATCCGCAAAGCTATTAATAACATTTTTGCTTCTCCAAATGTTTTCTATAAACCTTTAACTTCAAATTTTTGCAGGATCTTAAGTGTATCTTAAGTATGCATCTTTTTGAGGAAGGCAGGAGTAAACTTTTCTTAGAATTTTAACAGTGAATAGAATCATTATTATTAAATTTGTATCTTTGAGACAGATACACTGGAAAAAATTCAAACAGTTTAAGGATACTATTCAGATGACAGATTTCCAAGCAAAAGCTATTACACTACCATGCACATACACACAGATACTACCATATTATTCAATAATATATATTTTTTCATAGTGTATATAGTACAGAATTTAAGAACAAATACATTTTTCTCTACAAAGTCTTTTATACTAGTATTTATATGTATAAATGCACACATACATCTTTTACATGTATCTTGCCTATGCATAAGGATACACGTGCTCCTTTTCACACAAGAACATAAAGCTGTTTCAAAATTCCTATCTGCATTGCAAAATCTTTTAATCTATAATGTTACAACGTTTCCAGCCTTCTAAGAATTTTCTTAATTTCTGCTTACCTTAAGGCCATTTGCTGTAATGCACTACCACTGGGAAGAGACATCATAAGATCAGAGATTGTCTGGAGTAGGCGATGAAAAGTGTGGGGTAATGGGTGAGCTGCTTCACCAGCAATCACTATATCTGACAGAGGATGTTCACATACTCTTGTGTCTTTCTCCTAAGATGCAAAGCAATTTGTATGTTGTTAACATGCTTTCAGACAAAAAGATTAAATAAACAGAAATAAAAATGTTTATGGTATTTAGTTTAAGAATAACTGCAACAATCCCATAATGAATGTGAACTTCAAAGCAGTTCCTGTCAGAGAATTTTTATAATAGCAAGTTATACATGAACACCAAACAAGAAATTCAGGAAGTATACTACGAGATATTTCTCATGATTTAAAAATGTGAAACATTAAATTGCAATAACTTAACAAAAAAAAAGGAAAAAGCCTCTAGAAAGATTAACATATTCCAGCTGTCAATAATAACTTCTTTGAGCAGCAAAACCGAATCACAGCAAACTTGCTAATTAAGCTAAGGTTATCAGCTGCTTTATTTCATTAGAGCTGTGAAAATAATGATTCAGGCATGTCAGTATCAGAACAGCAGTGCACTGGGAGCCAAGTTCCACTGGGCAGTGGGTACAAAGGCAGTGGCAGAGGACCAAAGAGGGTGTGGGCCAGCAGGGTGAGTTATGGGGAAGAGTATCAAAGAAAGAGAAGGAGGTACTGCTTGTGATATCCTATTTTCAGAAGGCAGGGAAAGACTGATCTATGAAAGATACAAACCAATTCCTCTGCCCGAACATACTGACATCCAAAGCCAGATTCAAATTTATTATTTTAAACCCATTAAATTGTCTATGTATATTCTTGCAAGTAGATTTCCCATGGATCTCAACTGCTTAAATGCCTAGAAACACTATGGTCTTAGTTGAAATGAATTTTAGGCACCTGCTTATCTAGACAAGAATCATCAAACCAGACATCTGTATTTTCCTGGAGGGCGTAATGTGGTAAAGTGTACTCAGCATATGAAGTAGGAAGCATGAAATTGAACTCTGCGCTAAATATAATAAATTATTCAGAAAAAGTTCAAAGCCTAGTCCTCCCCTTCGCCCCAAGGATCCTATCTACACAGGCAGCATCCTGCTCTCCCGTCTCCTCTGCAGCTTAGTAATTCTTGCATTTTTTTTTGCTTTAGCAAGGACACTGCCCTTGAACCTACATTTTATGCGTTAAACCACATATGGTTCTAGATCCCCATTCCCCATTTTTACAGAATTCGTCACTGGGATTTCTCACCCTCTCCCAGTATGTTAAAAGAATATGTAAAAATATTTTACATAAGGAAATGAATCCCAGTTGTGGAAAAGCACCAAACTGCCTTCGATTTACTACATTGTGTACATATATTTAAATGGGTATTTTAACCATATGATCAGACTACCAAAGGAAGATGTTGTAATTTCAATATACATCACCTGAGTGATATTTAACAATTAGCTGAAAACCGTTGCCAGTTTCTTGTATGCCATAAAATTATTCATCCTAGCCAAGTGACCAAGGGGAATTTTTTAAGGCCCCCTTTCCTTATATCAAAAAAGCAGCAGCATTCCCCACCAGAGCAGAAGTGGCATATTTTAACATTTCTTTCTAATCTTTATCTGTCAGTCAGTAATTAATGAAACTACAGCTAAGACAGTATTTGTTTATTCTTTTATATAGTAAAATTATTTTGCAGGCTGACGGGCGTAAGGACCAGTAGGAACACACTTCCCTCATTCCAGCAGTGCTTTTGATGTAGCAGTTGAAATTATTACAAGGCAGAAAATTGTTGGAGTCAAGCACAAAAACAATATTCAGAATATAATACACAGAGCTACTGCAAATCACCTTTAATGTATACATACAAGAATTTGGCACACCTGAAAATAAATAAGTAGAATTATAAATCTCCATGTTGATACAGTAACATGGAAAAGTTAATATCCCACATAAAATTTAGGACAAGACTACAGTTGCTTTGTAAACGACTGTAGCAATGTACCAGGGCTGCAATGCTGAAAAGACTCATTTCAGAACTTCCCATTTCAAAGCTGGATTAGATTTGAAGTGACAAAGATTACCCTGGCTTACTAGCAGCACTAGCGTGATTTCTTGAGCTATTCATGTGGACACGATAATGTTTTCAATCAGAGCTAAATCTAGAAGAGATTGTATGAAGATACCTTTTGGAAGAGTGGTATGTTAGACTATACCATTTTACATGCTACATTTTCAGAACTAACTATAGAATTTTTCTTAAATCACTAAATTAACTGTATCTAGTGTATACATAATGACTTATATATATAATTATTTTTG